GATGTAGATGTTATAGAGATAATAGATAAACCTATGGGAGCTGATGAGATCACCAAGCAAGATAGTATACAGAGAGAAGAGTAGGGGGCCTCAGATAGAGTCTTGGGCAATGACCAAAGATAGTTTGGGGTAACCTTGGAGAGAGCAGTTTGGTTGAGTTATGAGGTTATAAGACAGATTTTAAAAGGTTGAGGGGTAAGTCAGAGTAGAGGAAGTGAAGGAAGCTAGTGAAGACAGATTTTTCTAGGAGCTTGGCTAAGAAAGGGAATCAAGATGATAGCTTGAGGAGATGGTAGGGTTTAGTGAAGGTTTTTTTCTTAAGGACAAGGAAGACTTCAGCATGTTTGAGGATGCTGTGGAAAAATGAGTTGAAAGGAAAGGCTGAAGATTAGAGAGAAAAAAGGGATGAATGCAGGGCCAATCTCCTGGATTGGGGCCAAGCACACAAGTAGACAGGCTGGCCTTGGTAACGAGAAGAGAGGAATTGCCACCTCATTGTTAGAAACTGGGGCAGGGGAGGGAAAGGGGAAAGGGAGAGCTCGTAGAGATTGACTTCCCTTTTCTCCACAAAGAGAGGCTGAATTTCTATATGAAAACTAGAAAGTCTCTTTCCTGTCATATTTTAGGCTGGGGATTGAGTTCCTTTGACTTAGATTTGCTTTTATTTTTGTTTGGTTTTCATAATAAGCTGTTTAGATTGCTTTTGATTGGAATAATCCCTAAATTTGATCAGAATCTGGTAAGCAAGTTTAGACCAGCTGCAAACTGATTAGCTTTCCCCATTCGGCTCCCCCTCCCAGCTGCCTGTGATGGGGGCACAGCTGTAATTATGGCTGGTGATGAGATGGAGGGAGAGAATTGTTAGGGCAATTTCAGGCATTCTGAAGATGCCTGATGAGGCTGAATATTTCCTGCAGGAGCCAGAGAACAAGGAATGTCAGGAAAGGCACTGATGAATGACTAAGGAATGAAAGCTTGTTGGTTTTTTGTGGGTAGTGAGTAACACCTTCAATTTCTGGAGCTGCTGGATTGCAGCATTCCTGCTGGGAAAGCCTGCCTTCCGGAGCCCACGCAGGCTGCCACTCCTCTTGGGCTATCTGACAATTTGGCAACTTGAGGTATGGACTGCCTGTGGGCCTGGCCCTGACTGCCCAGTTCAGTTAGTCTCTGCAGCTAATGACCTGCAGAGCCCAGATTCAGCTGCTTGGTGGAGTGTCTTTGGTTTTGACCTTCTAAGCTCCCAGCGTACAGCAGGACTGCTTTCATCTTCCCTAGAGCTTGGGGGGGGGGGGCCCTCCCCGGCCGCCATGAAAAGTATGGATGTGTTCACCTAGACCTGGCTGCTAAGTTGTTGAAGAATCTCATTCTACCATAAGATTCAGAGCCAAAAAGCACCTTTGAGGTCATCTAGTCTAACTGGATCATTTTACATAGGAGGAAACATAGGGCCATGGAACTGAAGTGACGTGTCCAAAACGGACACACAGGCAGAGTCTCTCACATGAGAGCTCAGCCGAATTCAGTATGGGAAATTTCTTTAGAAGCAAATGATTGACAAGCTCTTGCCAATGAGGCACCTACTGTGTGCCAGGCACTGTGCTGAGCACTTTACACATATCTCATTTGATCCTCAGAACAGCCCTGTAAGGTAGATGCTATTCTCAGTCCCATTTTACTGATGAGGAAACTGAGGTAGACAGACGTAAAGTCACTTGTCCAGGGTGACACAGCTGATAAGTGTCTGAGAATAGATTTGAACCCACAGCTTCCTGCCTCCATGCCTAGCCACTTCAGGGTCATAGATTTGGCCCAGTGCTCTCTTAGGAGATGCACCTTTGTCTTTATCTGCTGTTCTGAAGGGGGTAGCTAGTCAGGAGGACCTGAGTTCAAATCCAGCTTTACCCTGTTTGCCTCAGTTTCCTCCTCTGTAAAATGAGCTGGAGAAGGAAATGACAAACCACTCCAGTATCTGTGCCAAGAAAATCCCAAGTGGGGTCACAGAGAGTCGGACACGACTGAACAGTTACAGCAGCAACAAGGGCAGTTCTGCAGGAGCGCCCATTTAGCTTTACTTGAAAATATTGCTGGGACTAATGGGGCTTCATAGGAGAAAGCAACAGGTCCTTTACTCTGGGGGTTGAGGTGAAGGCCTGGAAGGGAAGGCCATGTGGTTTAAATGGACACTTTGAAGGGAGCTGGAGGCAGGGCCAGCAAGGGAAGGGGACCAGGCTAGTCTCCTGGGACTCACATGTCCAAAGTGGAGCTGGGAAAGGGTGGACATAACCGTCTCCAGATCGTCCCTTCCTTCAGCCATGGGTGGTTTCTTCAGCCCTGACTACATGCCAGGCTGTACGGAACAAGAAGTCTCTGATAGACCAAGACTCCTGTCTCCATCCTTCAGGCTAGCTTGGGAGATTCTAGATGAGACTGAACAGAGCTGCCTCAGCTCAGGGCTAATGGCAATTTGGGGATCAGACCTGCCTAGCTATTTTACAAAGAAGAGAAGGGGCTCTGGAAGGTCACATCTCCCTGCAGTCATGAATCAGGGGAAAACATTCAGTTAGAAAATGGTACCTGTGAGTTCAATGAGTCCAATCAAACCTATGCAATATTGCTTCTAACTGACAAACGCTGCCCCCTCCCCCTAAACCCTAAAGTCCTGAACCCCCAGTCCTCCCTCATCTCATCCCAGGAGGGCCCTTTCAGGTGCCGAAAAGCACTTTGAGTCCAACATTACATGAAATGCTTTGAAATGAAATGTTTCGATTAAAGCAGTTCTGGCTTATGTGGTTTTGCATCTGAATGTGTCCCAAAGAGGAGAGTGAAGCCATGGGTAAGGGGAAGCAATGCTTGCTTTTTTTATGCAGAATACTCAACAACCTAGGAAAATACCTTCAGCCGATTGAATGCCTTTCTGAGGGTAGAAAAGGTCAGGCTATTTATCAGAAAATATCATTTAAGGCACTAAGCAAAGAAAGAAAAGTATTCTGGGAGTAAATTGACATTACTCCAACAGCCTTAGATGCAAAGAAAAGTGGATGATTTCGGGCCACTGTGTATGAAAATCAAAGGGGAAGCAGGGCATACTGTCCCTCTGTAAGCAGGGGCAAGGGGACCTCAGTCAGTGCTGGCCTCTTAAAAATGTAACCTTCTTAGAAACTTGGAGTTTGTGGATTTACAATTACAGCCTTGTGGATGAAGGAAGAAATTTCTCTTCCATGCTTCAATCTAGAAAGCTGTGGCCCTCCATGAAGTGAGTCAGAGGATGGAGAGTGAGCAGCCTCAGTCATGCACAGAAATAGGAGACGTGCATCTGCATAACCTCACAATTTTCGCTTGCCATTCATTTTTATAAGGGAGAAATGCACAAAAGGAAACTTCACTTAGACATTCTGTCCAGGAAATGGGGCTGTCTGTAAAGTACACTGTCTCCTTTGGCCTGGGCTTAGTGTGCATGGTACCATTTCAGCTGCAGCTTTAGTCAAGATCACTAGCCACAATCCATGTGCAAGAGCATATGATGGATAGGAGGGTGAAAAGGGTTTAGGATAGGCTTGTCAGGAAGGGGAGGAAGGAAGGAAGGAAGGAAGGAAGGAAGGAAGGAAGGAAGGAAGGAAGGAAGGAAGGAAGGAAGGAAGGAAGGAAGGAAGGAAGGAAGGAAGGAAGGAAAGGGAGGGAGGGAGGGAAGAAATAAGTATTTATTAAGTGCTTACTGTGGGCACTCTAAGTGTTTTACAAACGTTATCTAATTTGATCCTCACAAGAACCCTAGGAGGTAGGTATTGTTATTATCCTCCTGAGAAAACTGAGGCAGACAGAGGTCAAGTGACCTGCCCAGGTTCTCTGGGTATCCTGCATGGTAACAGTGAAAGTAAGAACCAAGCGAACCTGGGGGTAGGGGTGGGGGTCAAGGCCATATACATTTGGCCAAGACAGCCTACGATTTCCACTGTAATAGGTAATTTCTCTGTTGCAGCCCAGGGGATAGTTCAGCTTAGACTCTGAAGTTAGCTCCTGGTTAGCTCGTGCCCACCTGCCTGTCCAGGGCTGGAGGCTGCAAGTAACGAAACGAAGGAATTGGGAGAAGATGGCAGAATAAGGCAGGAAATTACCGGCTCTCCCAAACATAGCTTACAATATTGCCTCAAATCAATATTAGAGTGGCAAAAAGAATTAAAAGTCTGGGTAAAGTAGTGATGCAATCATCCAGGCTAAGATAACACTGGAGTTTGTTAGGAAAGTTTTGACCTGGCCTGACTGAACTACAGACACGTGCAGGCAGATTCCACTGAGTCAACAAACAGTTGTGGGGGGGAGGGTGTTGGGAGGGGGGAGGTTGGATAGCAGCCCAGAAAAAGATTGCAGCGCTCTCTGCTGACGCCGGGCACTGACTGCCGTGGTCCTGGACTGTGGGTCAGAAGAGTGCCCTAGTAGAGGGGCGGGGCCCTGCTGGCTGGGGTCACTTCCGGAGAGCAGAGGCACTGGGTTGGTTTCAGTTCCGGGTCAGAGGGGATTGCTGGTGTTTGCGGCTGAGCAGGCTTTGCACGGAGCTGGAGCGAGTGCAAGCGGGGCTGGGGCCGGGGGGGAGGGGAAGCCCTGGTCGTGGCTCCGGGGCAGGGAAAAGTACCCGAGGGCAGACCCCCAGATAGAGCTCGGAGAATAACAGCCCCAGAACCCTGGAGCCTGAGACCTTATTCCCTATACCCTCAGTGCAGAGCCTGACCCTAAGACCGAGTTGAGAGTCAGGAAAGAAGCCATTGAAAAAAACCCAACAACAACAACAAAAAATAGAGTGTTCACAAACCTAAAGAGAGTGCTTGGAAGAGCTTAAAAAGGACTTTAAAAATCAAATAAGAGAGGTTGAGGAAAGATTGGGAAAAGAAATTAGTAATGCAGGAAAAGCAAGGAAATTATGAAAAGAAAGTCAACCAACTGAAAAAAAGGTCCCAAAACTTACTAAAGAAAATAACTCCTTAAAAATTAGAATTGAGAAAGGAGACGCTAATGACTTCATAAAGCATTACAAAGTAATAAAATCAAGAGAATGAAAAGAAGAGAATGTGAAATAAATATCTATTAGAAAAACTGACCTGGGAAAGCAGATTGCAGAGAGATAAGGTAAGATTTGTTGGACTGCCTGAAAGTTATGATTAAAAGAAAAAAAGAATCTGGACAAGAAATTATTAAAGAAACTTGTCCTGAAGTTCTAGAACTAGAAATTGAAAAAATCTACCAATCACCACCTGAAAGAGATGGAAGGTAATGAAAGGGAATCACATTCCAATTCTTTCTGGCGAAGTGGGTGAAAATCATTCTGAAAATGCCCTCCTTTCGAGTTTGCTCCTTTTCCATCTGCTGGAAAGGGAAGAGAGAGGAGTAAAATTCAGGATGGAGAGGGGAGGGCTCAGGATACGCTGGGGTGAAAGGGGGTCGTTTCTGTTCCGTGCCTTCCTGCTTGCTGCTTCTTTCACCTTTGATCTCTTCCTATCTGCTCCTCCAAACATGCCTGGGTTTGCCCCATCCTTTAAAAAATCCTTTACTTGATCCTATCCATTACCTCGAGTTGCCAAACTCCAAGAAAGAATTGCCCATTCTCTTACCTCTCATTCACTTCTCACTTCCCATTTCTCTTAATCACCTTCTAGACCTAGACCCTCTCTTGGTTTCTAGGGCTGCCATCTCTTCCTTTGCTGGATCATCGTCCATATCACACATGTGAACATGGCATTTTCCATGGTTCTCTCCAGGGCCCGTACCTCTCCATCTTCAGCTCTTATGGGTTCAGTCATCACCATTTCTATGCAGATGACTCCGAGGCCTATATACCTAGCCCTAATCTCTCTTCTGGGCTTCTATCCCATGTTACCAACTGCCTGCTCACTGTCTCTGCCTGATATTCAACATAACCAAAACGAAGCTCATTTTCACTTCCAAACCCATCCCTTCTCCCCCAGTTCCTTATTTCTGTGAATGGAGCCACGTTCCTTTCTCTCTCTCTCTCTCCCCGTCCCCCTCCCCTCCTTCTCTCTCCCTCCCCTCTCCCTCTCGCTCTTCCCCTCTCTCCCTGCTTTACTCCCTCACTCTCTCACTCCCATAGGCAATCAGTTGCAAGGTTTGGTCACCCCACCTCACAGCGTCTTTTGCATTTTTTCCTCTTTTCTTTAATCATAGCCTTTGCCATAGTTCAGGCTTTTCATTACCTCTTACCTGGATTATTGCAAAAACCTGCTAATTAATTTCCCAGTTTCATTACTCTTCAAAGCATCCTTCATGTTGCTGCCTAGTTGCTGTTCTTAAAACACAGATCTGCAGGCACGTAACACTCACTAGATGTGTGACTCTGGGCAAGTCATTTAACCCCAATTGCCTCACCAAAAAAAACAAAAGAAATGATGAGCTCAATGATTTGGGGGCAGCTAGGTGGCACAGTGGATAGAACTCTGACCTTGGAGTCTGGAGGACCTGAGTTCTAATCTGGCCTCAGACACTTGACACTTACTAGCTGTGTGACCCTGGGCAAGTCACTTAACCCCAATTGCCTCATTAAAAACAAACAAACAAACAAGAAACCAAAAAAAAAAAGCCACAGATCTGACCGTTCCACCTTGCCCTGCTCAAAAAAATATTCAGTGGATCCCTGTTGCCTCTGATGAGATACAGAATCCTCATTATCTCTTGTTAAAGCCTTGCATAATCTGAATCCCACCTACCTTTCTTGGTTTAATTCCTATTACTTCCTAAGTATAGTTTCTATTCTAATTAAACTGACATGCTGACAGTACCCCTTACGTATCATTCAAGCTCCAGATGCCATGCCTTTGTACAAGTGGGTCCTCATGTCTGTAAGTCACTCACTTCTCACCTCAGCTTCCTTACATGTGCAGTTTGGATGCCACCTCCTACATGAGGCCTTTTCTGCTACCAGAAATTGTTAGTGCTATGTCTCACTCTTAAAATTGCTTTGGTTTTACTCATTGGTATATATGCCATATGGCCTTCTCCCTTCCTCCCTCAACCTTCCTGGAAGGCGAGGACTCTTCCATTTTTCTTTTGAAACCACTGTCCCTTGTACACAATAGATGCTTGATTGTTAAATTTAATTGAGTTGAAACTATGGTTGGCCATATCATGAAGTAGAAAGAATGCTGGGCTTGGAACAGAGGACTGGGGTTCAAATTTTAGCTTGGCCCTTTGCTGTCTCTGTGACCTTGGTCAAGTCCCAGCCTCCCTGGTCCTCAGTTCTTCATCTGCCTCCTGCAGCTCTAAATCTATCAGTCAATGAGTCTATGATCATACGTATAATTATTCTGGATTTTCAGGGGGCGTGTGTGTGTATGTATGTTCTGGGTTCATACAATTGTCCTGGATTTTAAGACAAGGGGATGACAGTAATGATTATGATAACAGTCATGGCCTCTATCAGAGGCAAGACTTGAGGCCAGTTCTGCCTGCCTCCAATGCTGAGCCTCTATCCTCCAGGACACAGCCTCACATTTAGCTTAATGAAAGGACTTGCAAGAAAGATGCAAATGATCAGTCAGCTAACAAGATTTATTATGTCTATGCTTTATGTCAGGTGAGAGACCAGACCCTTGAGATGCAAAGACACAAAAGAAACGGTTCCTGCCCTCAATGAGCTTACAGTGGAAAGAGCACAGGATTTGGAGGGATTCAAATGTGAGTGCTGATACTACCTGTGTGACTTGGCCGTGTCCCTTCCCCTCTTTGGGCCTCAGTTTCCCCCTCTGTAAAGAAGAGGATTGTACTGAATGATCTCTGAGTTCCCTACCAGTTGGAAACCTGTGGAATTTGCATTTGCAGTGAATTCCTTTTCTCCCTTTTGAAGCTTTTTCTTCTTTTAGCAATTTCATCTGAGTGAGCACCAAGGTGATATCACAAAACCTAAAGAAGAAAGAACTAAAGACCCTTTTTTAATTGCGTTCGAGGGAAAAAATGAGCAGATGAGCTTTGAGAACATCCCCTCCCATTACATTGTCCAGGGAAAGCACCTATAACCTCTAACTGCAAGAAACAAGGTCCCCTAATAGCATGGAGTGAGTGAGCGCCTCTGTGCGACAGCATCATATTAAGGAGAAATTTGTGGGTGAAAGGCAGCAGGGAGAAAGCCATTGTTGCTAATGACTGGTTGATTAATTTTCCACTTATCTATTCTTTGTGGATTACTGGCAACGAAACTTAGTAAGCCCAATAGAAATGTTAGCCTGATGTGGAAAAAAAAATAGAGGCTTTGTATACCAAGCCTATGAATCCCATCTACCCCCATCACCTCCCAAAATTACGAGGAAGGTTAGGTGAGGAAAAGGGCAAGCCAGCCCTGCCAGTGGCAAGCAGCACTTGTCATTGGGGTACATGAGTAGCTGGTGGGAAGGGGAGGGGGAGAATAGAATTGGAGGCTGGGTTGGATGTCAGTAACTGGTCAGAATTAGCTGCAAATTGAGTTTTGAAGTCTGAGTAAAGCAATAGAAAGGTGATGAATCTCTTTATTCGACTGAATACAGGGGCTGGAAGAGGTCATAGACATCACTCTCCATCACAGTGCCCTTTCTGTCTGACTCCAGAGGGATTGTACAGCAACTCTGAGCCCCCAAGAAGGAAACTCTGCTCTCGTTTACTGCATTCTCTCATTTCACTTTAGTGGAAAGAAAAACAAATTAGTCAAACTGCAGCCCGAGAAAAGCTGTTTGCTTGATTGAATTTTTTACTTTTCATAAAGATACGTAGGCGAGGGATAGACAAAACTTTAATTCTGCAAAAGAAAAGACCTTTCATGTGTGCAAATTGGATGTAATTAGTCCACAAGAAAAGGGGGAAAAGGGATTCTTCTAAAATCTTAAAGCAATATTATCCATTATGCCTTTCTCACCCCACCATAAAATTTCTATTTGAAGGCAATAACCATCCCATATATCTTGTAGGATAGCAATCTGTTCTTTCTAATCACGACCTAAGGAATGTGCCAGGGATGATCTGGGGATGATAGTCAGCTATCCCCATACAGAAGATGTGTAGTCAAAGCCCTTCCCAGTACAGGAATTCCCTTTACAATATCTCAGACAAGGTGGGGGGAGGGATATCCAACCATTGCCAAAATCCCTTTGCTACAGAGCTATGATTGGACATTTTGGTGCCTGGGCCAGACAGTCATAGAGTCAGTCCATCAAATCAACGTTTAAAGAAACAAATTATGGGGTTTTTTTTGAGGGGGTAAGGAGAGCAACCTCAGGACACTGGTCCATGAGAGGGAGAAAGAGGTTCTTTTAGGAGAGGATTCGGGAGGGAGAGCAGGCTACAGAAGTCCTCACCTGGGGGACTGCTTCTAGAGGAACAAGTGTGCCATCACACAGCTTCCTACATGAACCAATGAGTCTTGGTATCTAGCTGCAAACCTCAGCCATTTCTAAGGTGATGAATGAGGGCAGGTGCCAACAGATAGATGCTAGGGCAAAGCTCCATTCATTCCACACTAGTCACAGATATGCTTTGCAAGAAAGAGCACTGCATTTTCTGACAGTTCCAGTTGCTATATGGGTCTTCCTTACTTTGAGCTAAAGTCTACTCCCCTATATTTTCTACACATTGACCCTAGTTCTCTGAAGCCACAAGATTCTTCCATGTGGCTTCCCTTTTAGAGATTCCACGTGACTTGCCTTCACGTCCTCTCATCATCCTGGTTGCCTTCCTTTAGACAAACTCAGTTTGCCAATGTCAGTCGTAAAATGGGAAGCATCATGGGGGTAGTTTTGGATTTGGAGTCAGAAGATCTGGGTTTGTGCCTAACCTTTAACATTTGCTCATTGTCTTGGGCAAGTCACTTAACTGCTGTGAGCCTCAGTTTACTCAGATGTGAAAGAAGGCTAATAATGCTTCACATAATTGTGAGGAGGAAAAGAGATAACATTATATAAATAAAGTGCTTTGAAAAATGTAAGACTCCAAAAAATTCCAGATTTTATCATTACGAACAACAACAATAATCATTATCATCAGAAAATATATACCTAAATGTGGTCCTACCAGCTTAGAGCAGCATGGGAATACTACCTCCCTTCGGCTGGTTGCTATTATGGAGGCCACATCACACTGTTGACTCACATTGATCTTATATTTAATGAAAAACTCCCATGGATTTACACATGAACTTTTGTCTAGCCATGTCCAAATCTCTCATCCTGTGCTTGTACAGTTGATTTTTGGAGGCCAAGTACAAGCCTTGGGTTTGGTTCAATTAAATTTCACTGTGTTCTGGTTGACTATTCCAGCCTCTCGTCATAGTTTTAGATGTCAATTCTGTACACATAGCTTCATGGTATCCACAAAGTTGATGAGCTTGCCACCTATGCCACCATTTAATAGGTTGACCAGGATATGGACAAAGACAGAGCCCTGTGGCATTCAATAAACCAGTTAACAAGAATTTATTCAACATCTAGGATGCATCAGGCATTAGAGATACAAATGGAAAACAAAAAGCCCATGCCCTCAAGGAGCTTACATTCAGCTAGAACTCACACTCTTTCCAAGTTGACATTGAGCTACCAACCACATCTTTTTCATGGAGAAGCTCAGTCTTCTGTATGTTTCTCATGGTGTTGTCCCTAATTAGATCATGGGGGGACTTTGTCAAATATCTTGATGAAATCAAGAGAAAGACTATGTTTATGAGATTCCCTTTACCTACAGGCTGAATAACCTTCTCAAACAAGGAAATGAGATAAACTACATGACTTGTTCTTCCTGAATTCTGGCTCCTTGAGATTTCCTCTCCAGATTTTGCCACGTTGTTTCAGCTGCCTTCTCTCTCCATCCCTGTATCTCCCTTCTTTCCTTGGTGAATTCTTCCCATAACCTCTATTTTGACTAACCCATCCTTCATTCTTTGGACTTCCCCCAAAAGGGTACTCACCCCCACCTTTTCAGCTCCCTTTCATGTGTTGTCTTTCCCATTAGAATTTAAACTACTTGAAGGCAAGGGCTGTCCTTGTTTTGCCTGTATTTGTATCCCCAGCACTTAGCACAGCGCCTGACACCTAGTAAACATTTAATAAGTGCTTGTTGACTTGATTACCCCTTCCTTTTCTGCTCGAAATTTATCTGTTTAATGATCTACTCTAAAATTTTGCCATCTATGTTTTCCAGAATTTATTTTTTTCCCTTTTTCAGTATCAAGAAAACAGTTGCCCATCTTTAGCTCTGTGGCATATATCCTTTTCTCTAACCTTTCTCTAAGGTTTTTCAAAGATTACTAATGATCATTCAACTGTAAGGGTTTTTTTAAGCCCTCTGAAATTTAATCTCAACAGTCTGAAGATCTGAACTTCATTGAAAATGGCAGACTGCCCTCTTGTTGCCATCTTGCTTTTCTTCTATTTCATTTCCTTCTTAACCTTTCCCATTTTGTAGTTTGAAACTCAGCCTCCATGATAGAGAACAGAGAAGCAAAATGTGAATGGACTTATTTTACTTTTGCCCTGTTACCTATTAACACAATACCATTTGTTTGCCCCAAATGGTGGGTCTTTTCCTTCTTTCTTTCCTTCTTTATGGATATATACATATATACTTTATTAATTTGTTATATTATATATAACATTTATCAGCATTTATTATGTACCAGGTACTGTGCTAAGTGCTAATAGTACAAATACAAGCAAAAAATATGTTCCCTGTCCTCAAGGATCTTACATTCTAATGGGCTAAGAAATTCCCCTGTTAGGAAATAGGAAAGGGAAGTAGTAGAGAGGGAAGAGGGGAAAGGGGAAAGGCACCTCTCTGGGGGCAAGGCTAGTAGGGAGGAGGTGGAAAAGTCTAGAGAGTTAGGAATGGAGCCAGGAAAGAAATGACCATGGGTAGCCTAGATACTTCATTAAATGGTTGTCTGGGCCAGGAACTGATCAATTAGAGGACAGGATCACAGGAGCAAAGGTATCACCCGTGTGAGAAAACTTCTAGTTAGGAGGTAGAAAAATACACAAGATTAGGAGTGGAGTTGGGAGAGGAGAATCCTTGTTCTTCTTGGCTCCAGACATAACTAAAGAAGACTCTTTGTGGTCTGTTAGCACTCAGTTCATTTTTGGTCTTTTTTCTTCCTGTCAGTATTTCTTTACAAGGCGCAACTTTTCTTTGGTATGAACTCCTCCTTCCTACTTTTTGGATATGCCAGTGAAAAAAATCTTAGCGTTCTCTCTCTCTCTCTCTCTCTCTCTCTCTCTCTCTCTCTCTCTCTCTCTCTCCCTCCCTCCCTCCCTCCCTCCCTCCCTCCCTCTCTCCATGAGGTCATATCCCTCTCTTGAGATGTTCCCTCCTTTTTTTCCATTGAGGTGCTTTATGATTGTATCATCAGAATTTTGGTGAGAGCCTTTCCATACCTTTTGATCCATTTCCCCTTTTAGAATCTCTGGCTATTGGATTATACCTTTTTTTTCTCTGAACTTCTTGACATTTGCTTTTCCAAAGTCTGAGGCAGCATTTCCCAAAGTATGTCCTGGGGATCCTTGCTATTCTGTGATATGAATAAAGGTTCTACAAAAAAATGGTGTTAGAGTATTATATGTAAAATTCTAAAAGTATTGAAATACTTATTCCATCTTCCTCCAATCTCCTTTTATTCTGAGTATAATATGTATTTTCAAAATCCTCCTAGCTATTTCAAACTCCAA